ATATATGTGCCACAGTTTTTCAATCCATTCATCCATACAGGGGCATTTGGGTTGGTTCCATGTCTTAGCAATCGTGAATAATGCTGCAATAAACATTGATGTGGAAGCACTTTTCCAATGAAGAATTCTTCTGCCCTTTGGGTAGATACCGAGGAGTGGGATTGCTGGGTCATATGGTAGTTCTATTTGTAGATTTTTGAGAAATCTCCAAATTCTTCTCCACACTAGCTGGACCTATTTACATTCTCACCAGAAGTGTAAGAGGGTTTCCCTTTCACCACACCCCCACCAACACTTATCATTTTTTGTTTTTTTAATCTTAGACATTCTGAACAGGGTTAGGTGGTATCTCAATGTTGTTTTGATCTGCATTTCCCTTACAATGAGGGATGTGAAGCATTTTTTCATATGTCTTTTGGCTATTCGTATGTCATCTTTAGAGAGTGTTTTTTTCAACTCCTTCTCCCATCTTTTAATAGGGCTGATCAGCTTTTTTCAAAACAGCACCTTGAGTTCCTTGTGTATTCTGCTTATCAGTCCCTTATCTGAAGCATAATTAACAAAACATTTTTTCCCATTCAGAGGGCTGTCAATTCACACTAATTACTGTGTCTTTGCCATGCAGAAACTTCTTAGTCTGATGTAATCCCACTCGTCTATTTTGGGGATCGTTGTATGTGCTTTTGGGGTCTTATTTAAGAAGTCTTTGCCTACTCCGATGTCTCAGAGTTTCTCCTGTGTTTTCCACCAGTAGTTTTATAGTTTGAGGTTTTATTTTGAAATCTTTGATTCATTTTGCATTGATTTTTGTTAATGTTGAGCAATAGGGGTCCAGTTTCATGTATCTACAGATGGTTGTCCAATTCTTCCAGTACCGTTTGCTGACAAGATTTTCTTTTCTGCACTGGATTGTCTTGTGCCCTTTGTCAAAAATCATTTGACTGTATGTTTTTGGGTTTATTTTTGAGATTCCTATTCTATTCCATTGGCCTACATGCCTGTTTTTGTTTCAGTATAATGCTGTTTTGATTATCACAGCTTTGTAATGTATTTTGAGGTCAGGAAGTAAGATGCTTCCTACTTCATTCTTTTTGTACAGTATTACTTTGGTGATATGGGGTCTTTTATGAACCAGACAAATTTTATTATGATTTTTTAAAAATTCTGTGAAGAATATTTCTGGTAATTTAATCAAGATTGTGTTAAATTTGTAAATTATTGTGTAGAATTGACATTTGATTATATTAATTTTTCTAATTCAGGAATATGGGTGGTCTTTCCACTTTTCTTGTATAATTTTCTATTTCTTTTTTATTTTTTCATAGTGATTTTTACATGGAGATCATTGGGTCTTCTATGTATACAATCATGTCATCTGTGAATAGAGTTTCACTTCTTTTCCTATTCTAATGCCTTTTATTTTTTCCTTTTCTGATTGCATTGGCGAGGATTTTCAGTACTATATTATAAAGGAGTGGAGAAAGCGCATAACCTTGTCTTGTTCCCATGTTTAGTGGGAAAGCTTTCAGCTTTTCTCCATTCAGGATGATGTTTGCTATGTGTTTTTCATAGATGGCTTTTATTGTGTTGAGAAATGGCCCTTCTATGCCGATTTTGCTGAGAGTCTTGA